AAGTGGGTGTGGCCACCATGGCACCTGCAATGCGGGTCTATGAACCTGCCTGCTGAGTCCCAGGAACCGGGAGGGTGCCCATGGTCACCTTGCGGTCATCCAGTGCCCAGGACAGCATTCTGCACACTGTGGGTGTGCACCCAAGCTCTCATTATGTCTGACACTAAGGGTGTCATGTTGAACGAGGACAACCCTTGTCACCAAAGACGGAGATTTATTTAAACAAATAACTGCTCACAAAATAAACCGATTACAAGTGTGTTGATCGTGATGGAGGAGTAGAGGGCACCAGGGGAGGTGGCACAGAAAGGCCTCTCTGATGCAGGGTTCTTTTAGCTGAGGTCTGAATGATACATGATGCTTGGTGGACAAAATGGGGAAAGGGAATCAGCATGTGTGTAAGCGCGGCCGTAGCAGGGAGTCTGCTAGTTTGAGGATGTGAAAGGTTCAGTGTGGCAGAGAAGGGTAAGAGGAAGAGGGGCAAAGGAGAGGCTGGCAGGAGCCTCAAATGCCATGTTCAGGGTCTGGGTCTGACTTTTTCTCTAGAACAGTGGGAGGCACAGAAGGGCTGAAGCAGGGGAATGGCATGGTCATATTCGTGTTTTAGAACAATCCAGCTGGCTGCCCAGTGAGGAGCACACGGGAGGCTGGAGGCAGGGAGGCCAGTAAAGGGCTGGGCAGTCAACCAGGATGGCGGGGCCTGGCCTTGCGCGTGGCCGTGGAGTTGGACACCGGAGGAGCAAGAAGGGAGTTCAGCAGCCTGAGGCCAGGTGACAGACGGAACAGGCTGTGAGCTGTGTCTCCTTCCACCACCCAACAGTTAATAAGGAGGGGAGGTCTGGGCGGGGTGCCAGGGTCCCTTCGGCACAACCAGCCATTCCAACTGGATAAACAGCAGTGGACACATGATATTCCTTAAAAACAAAATCCCGATTCATTCACATTCCCTGTTGTTTACCCCAGGTGTTTGTTTTTTTTCTCCTGGGCTATTTCAGGTCGGACAGGTTTGTGGGGAGAGAAGAGCTGGGGCTCAGAGCCAACAGGGAGGAAGAGAGACCAATGGGGCAGGGAGGCACCCCGCACACCTTACAAGACCAGGAAGGGTCCTGGCCTGAGCCCCTACTGTATGTCCTGAAGCAAATCCCTTCCTTTCGTCGGGCCTCCGCCCAAGCTCTGGCTCTGACCTTCTGGACCCTCCCTTTCAAAATAAAGGATTATTATTCTTCACCTTTGGGTCCTTGTTTCTGAATGTGCTTTTGCGTGGGGTGGGGTGGGGCAGTTGTGCATGGAGGCAGCTTGGCAGAAGCCACTTCCTGAAAAAGGCCTCATGAATCAGGGGTGGGAGGTGGCATTCTCTGCCCAGGAGGGGGCAGGCCCAGCAGGTGGGCAGGGGAAACTTCCCGCCCTGCTCCAGGACCATTTTTATCCTTTGTCCATATGCCTGAATCTACTACCAGGCGCCAGGGACTGGGCCAAGGAAAGGGTGTGGGAGGGCTGGTGGACAGAGATGGCACCCAGAGCCCTTGAGAAAGAACAGAGAACTCCCTCCCTCTGTTGGGCTGAGTTGAGAAACTCTTCCTATAAGAAGACCTCTTAAAAATCACTAAGAAAAAAGATAGGTATTCCAACAGAAAAGCAGGCAGAGGATATGGATTTTAAAAGCCCTACAAACAGCCAATACATGTATGAATTTACTCAAAACTGAAAACTGAACCTCAAAACAGCCTTAAGTGTAAGGGCAGAGGTTCCCAACCTCTTAGGGTTGAGAAATTCTCCCGATGCCTGACTTCCTGGAATCCTTTCCTCTTCCTCATACAGTGCCGATGACTACATTCATTTGTTCTTTCCTTTAAAAAACTAACTCATTCTGCCCCCACCCAGAGATCGTAACTAGTCTGATTTATTAACATAAAGCAGTGGAGAACTGAAAAAACTTTAAAAGACCTTTATAATCTTCCCAGAATAAAGTAAAGAATCCCATGTTTGGGATGCTCAAAGAGCCTCCCATCTGGCCACACCCACCCATGGCAGGGACCCCTCTCTCCTCCCTGCGGGAATCTCAGAATAGCCACCTGGCCCCTGGGGCCTAAGGACTCATCTCCTTTGCCTTTGCTCACACTGACAGCTTTATCTGGCATGCCTTCTGCATGCCTATCTCTCCAGTGTTTAAATAAAAGATTGCCCCATGCATACAATAGAACACATTTTTAAAAAGTCCTCCCAGTTGGTGATTCTTCCAGAATGTGGTCGTGAGCACTGCGTGAGAGGACCCAGAGATGGCACTTGGTATGTGGTACATGGCCCCATAAACGGTAGCTATTCCTACATCTTCATGGACCAGGCTTCTTCTTGCTAATCAGGTCTCAAAGAGTGTCACCTCCTCAGAGAGGCCTTCCTAGACCACCGTCCTAGATGGCACCCAGCTCCCGTCACTTTATTTCCTCATCCTATTGTATTATGTTCATGTTGATCACTCTCTGAAGCTATCTTATTTATTTATTATCTTTTTCCTAGAGAGCCTCACTTGTGTGCTGCTGTATTCCCAGCCCCTGCAGTAGCACCCGACATACAGGAGCAGCATGTATGTTTTTCACTTTAAACGTTCATCATTTTTCAAAAAAATTCATTTCTCATTTCATCAACTTTATGGAATTAATTGCACAATAAAATGAATTTATTTTAAGCTGTGTACTTTGATGAATTTTGACAAACATGTCCTCCTGTGCAACCATCACCCTGGGCAAGGCATAGACCATTTCCATCCTCCCCAAAAGTTTCCACCTGATGTTTTTGCAGTCGGTTCCTCTCCACCCTGCCCCTACATAATACAACTTTTTAAGGAACTGGATGAATCTTGACTTGGGACTGGCCCCAAGGTCTGCAGGGAGATATTCGCATGCATGTATAGTATCCTATACTTGACAATGTCTTTTCACTCTCATAGTCTCATTTATGTCTCACTTATGAGGCCAAAGATGCTCAGAGGAGCTAAGTAGCATGTAACAGAGGATCTCTAAAGCCAAGAGGGAGGGTCCCTGGGCTAGGGACCTGGCACACTTGGAAGTCTGTGGGTACTCCAGGCTGGCAAAGGCTTCTTGTGGCCCCATTTCCATCCCAACTGGCCCAGGCCTCCAGCCCAGCTGAGATGCCCTTGGATGTCCGATGCCAGCTAGCTCCAGCTATCCCCTCCCAGGGCAGAGCAGGCCTTTCTGGTCCCTATAGTTTGTGCCATGGAAAAAATGAAATCTGGCTAGCAGCATCACTTGCTTCTGGTTGCTCAAAGAGAACCTAGACAGGGTGTCAGGAGACTTGGCCTCTGGCTGGTTCTTCCTCTGCCTTGCTGTGTGACCTTAGCAAGTTACTTTCCCTCTCTGGGTCTCCATTCTCATCTCTGTAAAAGGAAACTAGTAATTCCTACCAGCTTGACTTCAACTCCCCTGACGACCCTCTGCTCCATAAATAGATACTGCTCTTCCAGGGTTGTGCCTCTGCTGGAGCTGTCCCCACTCCCTGGAATGCTGTTCTCCAGTATCTGCTGTCAAAATTCAGGTTTTTCAACTTACAGTTCAGGTACTACTCCCCTAGAGATTTTCCCCAAAACAATGTTCTGCTCATTCCTTAAGCTTCCACTTGCTTTAGAGGGCAGGGACTGGGATGAATAGAACAGTGGGTCTGTTTATTGAGATGACCCATCCTGTGCCAAGCACTGTGCCAGTCACTTTATCTCGTTTAATCCACACAACAAAGCATCATTATTCTAATTTGACAGATGAGGAAACTGTCACTGTGCTGGGTTATAGAGCAGATAGGACAGCTCTGGCACCCTCTCTTTTCACCCCAGGCATCTTGCAGAAAGGGCCCAGTAACCAGGTGATTGTCACATGTTTGCTGAATGATGGGGTAAGCTACTGAACGTGTGGAAGAGTGCCCGTGTCACACTGGTCAACTTCACTTTGTGGTGTTGACAGGACAGAAGTACCAATGCTCAGTAAATGTTAGCTTTTATTATTATCTTCTGTCACAGTTACAGTAAGAGCTGTCAGTTGTAGGATTGCAGCACAGAGATGCTGCGAGTATTCAGTCACAGGGTAAACAAGCAGAAACTGGACCCCCTATGGGATGCAGTACAGGTGGTCTGAGCATCAACATCAAGGAAGGCCTCTGCCACCCCAGTGCATGATTCTGCATCCCAGTTGTTATTCTGATGGCCTCCTCTACCTTTACCTCTTGGGAGGTGCCTCGGGCAAGGACTGAAATGCATTCTTCTGATGCCTGTGACCCACCCGTGCCCAGCCCCGCAGGCTTGGTACCCAAAGTCCATGCAGGCCCGTGGGTTTTTAATCTGAGTCTTCTACAAACTGTAAAGTGCTATTACTTTTTCCATTCCTGACTTGCCCTGTTCCACCTCCCCGAGTTAAAAACCCTTTGCTGAGACTCAGGAATGTCCAGCCGGCACTGAGACCTGGGGTGCCTTTGGGCCTCAGCTCTCCCTGCCACCTCCACTTTCCCTGCACTATTGTGCAAGACAGGCGGGCACACCTTCTGGGGCAGGTCTGATCAAGGCCAGGGAACTTCCTGAGAGCTGGCGGCAGCGGCCGGGCTGAGGGCAGGGGAGCCCGGTGCAGGGAGCTGGGGGCAGGAGCAGGGGGGCGCCAACGCCGAGTTCCCGTACCTTGGCCTAGGCGCCCTACCAGTTCCCCACGACCTCCTAGGCTCGAGGCAGCTCTTCCTGTGCAGGAGGGGCAGGGGGTGACACGCAGGCTGGAGCACCCTAGGGCACCCCCATTCCTTCAGATTTCCCCACCAGCCCCATCCCTTTCTGCGTTTCGCTCCCGTGCACCTTTCCGTTTCTCCCCGGTCTCCCTTTCTCCGATCTTTTCTTTGTCTCCGTCTCGCGGGCGGTCCCCGCGTCCCCAGCCCCCAGCCCGCCCGCACCGGGGAGGGGCGGGGCTCGGCGCCGGGGGCGGGGCCGGGCGGGGCGGCGGGGCGGCGGGCTGGGGCTCCGGAGGAGGCGGCCAGCGGGACGGACGCGGCCGGAGCCGTAGCGCGAGCGCAGCGGGGGCCGCGGCAGGGCGGGCCGGGTCCATGGCGCCAGCGGCGTCCGCTTGAGCAGCGCGGGCAGCGGCGGGCGGCGGCCGTGTCGCCCCGCGGCTCTTTTTCGCCATGGGGGACGTGCTGTCCACGCACCTGGACGACGCCCGGCGTCAGCACATCGCAGGTGAGTCCCTCGCGGAGCAGCGCGCGGGGTCGCGAGGAAGGCCCCCGGGCCATACCCCCACCCCGGGCCGCCTTCCGCGGAAGGGCTGGGGTCTCCGGAGAGTCCCCCCCTGATCAGGGCGGAGTGGCTGGAGACCAAACCCTTCGTCCAGGCTAGTTCTCTGCACGTCCGGGGGCCCCTTCCCGCCCCCTTCTGAGCTCGCCCTTCCCCCCGCCCGAGGGGACGCGAGCCGAGCCCCTGACCACACCGGAACTTCCTTAGAGCCGGTCTCTTCGGATCCCCCAACACATTGCCCCCACCCCAAGTATCCCCACCCGGAAGCGTTCCAGGCCCACCCGGCCAGCGTGTCCTGACCTTCCTCTCTCACTGTCCCGGTTCTCAGCTCGCCCTGGCCCCCGCCCCAGCCCCAGTACACGTGGCCGATGCTTCCACGGACGGCCCATTAACACTTGGGACTAAGCCTGGGGAATGGCTAGGGATAGATGGTGGTGCCCCGGAAGTGGGGGCCAGAACCCCTGTTCTTTGGCTCAGGTTAAGGCAGGGTGCTCCTGCTGGCAGGCATGTCCAGAGGGCTGGTCAAGGATGGAGCCCAGCCTCTTCAACCCCCTCCCCATCAGCCAGCCCTGCTCCCACCCTGTCACGCACAGTGACCGCTTCTCAGAAGGGCAGCTGCCCCCTCGGCTTCCTAGGAAGACTTTCAACCTTGGGGGGCTTGGGTAGCAATCTCAGGCTGCCAGGGCAACTCGGTGGTCACCTCTCCTACACTGGGTGAAGCTACCTGGGTGGAGTCTCTGCTCGTTTCCCAGCAGTTAGATCTTGGACAAATGTGTTACTGTCCTGGCACCTTGGTTTTCTCCTTTTTGAAATGGAGTGAATGATTTCTTTCTTATAAACGACTTGTTGAAAGACTTAAGTGACCTAATTCATGTAACTTGCTTAGCACCAGGCCTGGCATAGAGGTGGCACCAGTGCATGGGGGTGCTGGCTCGTGTGGGGGGCCAGGGTAGTCTATGGAGAGGGGAGACCGTTCCTCTTGGCTGAGGTTGCCACCCCCTGTCCAGTGGGCCCAGAGCAGTGTGTCTACCTACACTTACCTGGATGTGTCCTGACCACACTTTCAGCAGTTGGGTTCTGCCCACTTGTACTCCTTGAGAAGAGGGACTGGGTGTCCCTTAACTCCTTGTCCCTAGGGCCCTACCTTGCGGGGCACAAAGAGGGTGTTGGGGAGGGTTTGTGCAGTGACGGTCCTGGGCCCACAGCCTGAGCCCCCTTTTTGTGCCAGGCCTGGGGCCAGGACCAGGGGTGACTGGTGAGGCAGAAGTGAGTCAGACCCTCTCGGCCTCAGACCAGCAGGGGGTTAAGTCCTGGAAAAGCCTCCCAGGACAGTCCTGGACTCTGGGAGGAGGAAGGCCAGGGTGGGGTCTTCCTGCCCCTTCCTGTCAGTGGCAGCTCCTAGGGCCCTGTAACAGTCCATCCACTCACCACCTCCTGTGGGGGCCCCTCCCCCAGCCTGGGTGGGGTGCGTTGCGCTGCAACTTCTTTGGTGGGTTTTTCCTTCCCCACACCCAGCTCTGGCTCTCACCCTCTTCCCACCTCCTGGGCTGAGAAACGCCAACACCCTCCTTCCCTTTAGCCATTTCATGGGGGGCTGAGACTGAGACCACAAAAGGTGAAGCGTCCTCCCTTGGACAGGGTTGGGTTTTTTTTGTGAATGCCAGGGGGTTGTGCCCACTCAGAGGCTGTTGGCCTCTTTTCTCAACCCTTGAGCGCTATTAATAACCCTCTTCAAATGCCTCAAATTCCTGGTCCAGGCTCACCTGAGGGCTCTTAATGTGTGTGTCGGGGAGGCTGAAAGTGGGGGAGTCTCCAGCCTCTCCCAAGGAAGCGAGTCACCTTGGAAATCTCTGTTGGAGGGGAAGGAGGGCATGCCTTTGCCCCCTCCACTGAATATGCACCCTCCTCATTCCAGCCCAAGTGAGCACTTTCTTGCCAGACAATTAAAATTCCAGAACCCTCCCTACCTGGGACTGCCCCATGGAAACATCAGCCTTTGGAACATCCCTTCCCAAGTGCTCGGAGCTCTGAGGCCTGTTAGGGTGGTGTGGCTTGGCCCGTGACTCCCGCAGCCTTGTGCCCTCCCCGAGCGGGTGAGCAGGTGAATGCCAGCCTACAAGTCCTGGCAGAGGTCAGGCGTGCTCCTGCCCACAGTGCCGTTTTGCTGCCACGGCGCCTTTCATCCTGGGATTTCAAAGTCTCTGGCAAGCAGGGGCTTGTTCTCACACGGGCGCCTCATGGGCCTGGTGGCAGGAAGATTCCCTCCTCCTTTCCCAAGGGAGCTTGCATGGTGGAAGGAGCTCTGGCCCGGGAGCCCAGAGGCCTGGTAACCTCATGCAGCCACTTACTTACTCTTTCTGGGTTTCAGTTTTCTCAGCTGTGAACTGAAGTGGGTGTGCTACCTGATGGATGAAGTCCCTTCTGGCTCTGAGGGCCTAAGTGTCCCCAAATTTCCCCCAAATCTCCTTCAGCCTTGGGCCAGGTCAGGGGCACAGTACTGGCTCCACATTAGCTGGCATGACCTTGGGCCAGCATCTTAATCTCCATTTTCTTATCTGTAAAGTGGGAATAATAGTGGTTTCCTGCTAGGCAGTTGCAAGGATTTAATGAGATAATGCAGGTAAGAAACTCAGCCCAGTGTTTGGGGCATAGTAAGCACTCAGTAAAAAATTGTTATTATTATTGAGAATTGTCATTTACTGTCTCTTTATGGAATCTTGAGTTGGCTGGGAGTGGCCAGATGTTTGGAGTTTGAAGGGGGCAATTGCAGCTGATTTAGGTCCTGTTTCTACAAGGTTTGTCCAGTCCCTGGGGCCAGGCCAGATGCTGGTTCGCTGGATTCAAGGACCTACCAGGGTTTTTAGAAACCTTGACTACTGTGTTCCTTCCTCAGTGGCAAATGTGTTACCTGGATGTGGGCTACCTGGAGTGGGTCCAGAGGGCAGTGTGGGGCACCCATATGATTAGGAAGGAACAAGGATGTGGAGAGGTGGGAGTTAACCCACACCTCCCCCGTGGCCCTGAGGACAGGACTAGGACCAGAGAGTAGAAGTGTCTGGGTGGCCTGTGTGGATGTGTGAGGGGTTCCTTGCATATGCAAATGTAGAAACCAGAGGGAGTGAGCTCGCTGTTGCTCAAGATGTGCAGGTCCAGGCTGGGTGCTGCACCGTTGGTAGGAGGCCTGGCATAGCCTCAGGGTCGGTGGGGAGGACCCCTCTGCCTCCAGGACAGCCTTGAAGGACTCAGATGTTACTCCAGAAATTCTGTTGATCAAGATGAAATTGTGGGGACTAAGGACCCCCGTCAACACACACACACGCATGCACACACACACGCACGCACACAGACACACGCTACGCTGAGGTCACCTGAGAGGGCTGGGAGGGAGCTTGCTTGTGGTCTTGCCTTTGGTGCGGTCCACCTTTCCCTGTGCTGATCCTTTTCTGAAGTAGCAGCTTTATTTGAAACATAATTCACCTGTCAGACAATTCCCATACTAAAAGTGTATAATTCAATGGATTTTGGTATATTCAACCATGGCCACAGTCAATTTTAGAACATTTTTATAACCCCTAACAGAAACCCTCTGCCCATTAGTAGTCATTGCCCATTTCCCTGAGCACTTTCCAGCTCTAGGCAGCCACTGTTAATGTCATCTGATGGCAGAAGAGACACATGCGTGATTTAAGACTGAAGCAGAAAAAGGAGACCTCTCTCCGTCTGCCCCTCTTTGATCCAGCCCACTCCCCAGAAGAAATCCCTCCTGCTTGGTGTGTCAGTTTCCAAATGTACCTCTCTGTGTACGTGTGCAATCTGATGGCAGAAGAGACACATGCGTGATTTAAGACTGAAGCAGAAAAAGGAGACCTCTCTCCGTCTGCCCCTCTTTGATCCAGCCCACTCCCCAGAAGAAATCCCTCCTGCTTGGTGTGTCAGTTTCCAAATGTACCTCTCTGTGTACGTGTGCATGCGGCTCTGTTTAGAGAAAGAGGCCCAATTATATGTTTCTGTGGTTTAGCTTTTTCCCTCACTCTCTTGTGAACGTCTTTCCATGTGAGAACACACGTGTGAGCCTCGTTCTGTTGGTGAGTTTCCCTCTGTGCGCGGCGCAGTTTATTCTCCAAGGCCTCTGTTAACGGACGGGTGGGTTGTTCGCAGTGTTCTGCCAGTGTTCGCAGTGTTGCCCAAACCTCTGCGTGTGTCCCGGGCTCGGTTCCAGTACCAGAGAGGCCTCAAAAATGGGCTCCTGGGTCACGGTTTGATGGACTGACACTTGGCTTCTGAAAGGGCTGTAAACATTCCACCCTCCCGCCTGTCAGTACCGAGGATTACCACCCTTTTTGACAATCATTTATGGGAACAAGTGTATTTCGTCTATTTACTAAACAAAATAATGCCTTTTTCCAAATGTATTTAAACACCTATGTCTTTGCATTTGGGAAATGGCTGTAAGTCCCTGGAGTGAAGGGATGGAGGTGTCCCTGCCAGGTGTGTGGCTTCCTGGTTGCTGCCTGGGGCTTTGCAGAGAGAGAAGGCTGGCCGGAAACGGTGGCCCCCTCGCCCCCATCCAAGGTCTGGGTCAACCCCTGGGGGTGAAGCGGCTGGGGATTCTGCTCTGCTCTTGCATCCGTCTTACATAACATGCTTTTTGTTGGTGTTGACCCTGCCCTCCCCCCACATTCAGCCTCCATCCCAGGCCTGAGCTCCGGCCTCTCCTGCTCAGAGCTGCTTCCCGCCTCAGCCCCCACCCTTCCCACACACACTGCCAAAGAGACCTTTCTGAACCCAGCTGGGCCATGGCCCCCTCCTTCCCTGCCACTTAGGAAATGGAGTCGAGAGACCAGACTAGGAATCACCACCATCCTGGGATCACCACTTTATTCTTCAGCGGTATTTCCCCTCTGTGTTTATTGTTACGCATTCCCGGGACCATGACTCAGTTTGAG